CTCCCAGGAACAACCTGACGGAGGCGGAGGAAGGCGTGGGTTGTCGAAGATTTTATTTGACAAGTGTCTTTTCTTATTCAAACTATGAAGGTTCTTGTGTTTTTTTCGACTGATTTCATAGACGTGACTGATATGATTTATTGTTATTATTATCTCATCTCTCTTCTTATGAACAACCTGACGAACATAGAAAAACTTTGATTATATTTTTTAAAATCCACGCTCTTTTCAAGAGGCGGAGTGGAGAACTTGCATATAGATAACTGTTACTTATCTTCTATTAGAATATATTGATGTTATCACTGATAATAACATTGTAGATTCAAGATTAATTGATGATGGTGAATGACCGAAAATAACTTTAGATTCGGATATGTATACTCATTTATGGCTACAGCACAGGCGGATCTAGGAAATTTAACACGAGCAGCAAAAGGTCAGAGTTCTTGATAAGAGGGCACGGGGGAAATATAAAGAGAACTTAAAGCTACGTATATCAAGAAATGATAATAAAGGCTACTTGCACCACAACTAATTCGACTGATATATTTTCTTTTTTATATATGATTTAAAAGTGTGTGGGCACAGGTGACCTTGTTTTGCAGCTAAAAATTAAGGAATAAAAAAAGCAAAGAGGGGCAATCCCTATATTAGCGGGGTGTAGCTATACTGCCCCCCTGTAGAGCTGCGACTACCCTACAAAAATCAAACATTATTATAAAGTGCAGCTTCTATATCAATAAGTAACTCTTGTTTTGTATGTTTTGTTTTGTACTGTGTGTCTTAGATTTAAATAAAATGTGTTACAGTATAATAGTTTTCTCAAGTTACCCCTTCTTAGACAACAGAAAACGCGATGCAGTGATTTGTGGTGTAAATTAAACGTCGACAGCGGTATATTTGAAATCTGGCATTGTAGTTCAGCTGAAATTATTTCAGGGAGGTTTGGGAAGGGAACATTAACCGGACTTAGAGCTGACCAAGCCTCCTGCAGTTCCTCATCTAGCAGAAATATCACATTTTTCAGAAATAGCAATTATCAACACACTGATTTGCATGGTAAATTGTATATACATAGCTTCTAAGAATTATTTCAGTAATTACTTTCGTGTACTATATTTGTACTTTTGTTCTAGAGAATTTCTCTTGAAAAAAATCTATTGTAATGCTTACCGTCTAGGTAAGTGGTTCTCATCCAATTTGCGTCAGCCAGTTCACCGTCCCAATTTACCCCTCCATTCAGCTGCGATTTCGCCCACAACAATTCTCTTCATGTGGCTTAAAAAGAAAAAAAAAGAAAGGAATTTAGGAAACATGAGCACTTAATTTACTTGCATAATAACTTTTCGCCTGTATAATAAACGTTTTAGCACTCTACCTACTTCTATGGCAAATTTTATCCGGGGTAAAACACGAACATATAAGGGCTCTCAACCCTGCCAAAACACCACACTAGAGAAACGGTATATGGGGTGTGGTTGTGGTATGTTTTGATAGTGATCGGGTGTCGCTTTTTTGTATGTGATTGTAGAAAAGGCTGTCATTTTTGTTTCCAGTCTTAAGTAGATATCTCCTATCAAAAATATTGTTCTAGGTTCTTTAGAACAACTTTAATCGGCTCAATACCCCAACAGTTTCTGCATTACTAATCCTGTACAAGGTAGAATTTTTACTAGCTTTTTTTATTTATTTGCTTAAATTGCCTTCAAGGATGAGCACGCCGTTTGGAATACAGGGAAGCAGAGCCGTTTCACTGAAAGGCGCAACTACAGAAGTCGAGGCCAAGGAGGATAAATTGCATGACACACTGTGTTCCGAATTGATGGAACAATTTGCTTGTCTTATTACAAGCAACAGAGTCTTGAATGGCTTTCATCAAGGCCAGATGTGAGACTGCATATGAGAAACAAGTGAATTTTATGCGTTGAGGGGAAGCATCTTTGGAAAAGGTTTCAGGCCGTGGAGGCAGTTGGTCCAAGGACGGTTTGGATTTGGTGCACAGTTATACAAATGGGAAATGAGCGCGCATTCGTTCAGTGAACATAAGCACTCTCTGATATCTACTGATAGCGAGACTTGCTACGTGTGGACTGGTATCTTAAATCGCAAATACAAGATCTAGATATTCCCGAAGCATAAAGACTTCGCGAAGTTTACTGGAAAAAAGAAAAAAACTTACAGGAAGAGAGATGTTATTCAGTATAATATAAATAAAATAAATAAATGGGTAACAGAAATGATGAGCTGAACATCAAAACTAAGAGGTTACATGTCTAGTGAGAGCATGAACGAAATGACAGGCTATGACACTGAAACAAGTCTTTAGACCATAGAAACCTGAACGTAGAAAAGCGTTTCGCAGTCGAGACGTTGTATTTATCAATCAAGGAAGTGCAAATTTGAAGATTAAGGAAAAAGACATTTGACTGCCAGAGATTAAAAAAAAAAAAAAAAAAATCAGATCTACAAAGGTTAAAGAGAGAACAGAGGCATATGAACACTAAGGAAGTGAGCTGTAATTTGAAAGTTTGAGTTATGAGAGCCTGAATAGACAGCTCCAAACATGGCCAAATGGTTAGAAGTAGCGAGGAAGGAAATACAAATGCTGCACAAATATAACATCTAAAACCTGTTACAGGGGACAGTAAGCGGTTTTATGCATCTGTCGAAAATGAACCATCACTGGATTATTTCCATTAGAATTATTTCTGACGTTTTCTTCAAAAAGTAATTGTAGTGAAATGAAATGGCCAGAAACAGTTGATGTCGTATAATTACATTGCTAGATAAATTGATTACACATTTAAGAACATATTTTGGCGATAAAATGTATATCTAACATTTTTGTCATTCACACAGTAATCGCGTAGGCCTAAGTGAATCCTTTGCGATACTATCGGAATCACTTTTAAATATTGTATTTGCGATTATTACATATGATTTTATATTTGAAATAATAATGAAAAATATACCGGGAAGTCACTTACTCTGTTGCTTTCTGCATATTAATTTGTCAAAGAGCTTATCATTTTTTTAAAATGCTTCTCCTGAGGTCAAGAGATTCGACAATATTTACGTCTCAGTGCACGCTGCATAATGTGTTTCTTTACTTTTAATATGAGTGGATAACTGAGGGAAGGAAGGCCACCATAACGAGTAAATAGTAAAATACATAAGTTAGCTATGCAAAGATTATTGGAAAACTATTGAATTAAACATTTTAAATATCAAGTGCCAAGTTCATGCCACCGGTCGAACGAATAAAGTAAAGATCGCTCGTGCCGTAATTGCTCTTATGTGTTACATGTTATTTTACTAATTTCTAAAAGCCTCGTACTGCTCTTAAACTGTATTTTCGTTGTAAAAACAAATCCATTTTTAAGAAAGTCCTTATCAGCTTTTATTTTTTCCTGAATATTTCCCCTTACCAAAGATGTGGCGCCACCGCTTTAACGTTGTTGTTGCCTGTGACAACTCGCCGGTTGAAACAGACAAGGTTGTAATATTACTGGTTAGGGACTTGATATCACGGGGAAAGCGGGCGGGAAATGACGGCTAATATCCGGGAACGAACGGTGGCGTATCATCTTGCGTGCGTAATCTGCGTGCCAGAAGCATAGGCCACCGTGGGACCGATTGCACAAACAAAATGATCTTAGGCACTGTATCTCCCTCAGAAAAATGATCTGTTCTACCACAAACCAAGGTGCAAGAATTGTCTTGAACATATTATTTCAAAGTCATGGCCTTCGATTTGGCTGCAAACATTGCCAGTCCTAACCTGAGCCTGCAACATTCGATTTGCACAAAACACTGGAGACAGCTGTAGAGGGCAAAGGTTGTTATTGCTGCGTTTAAGATTATCGTGATTTTTGGCGATTGACTGGTACTCCTGCATTCTTTGACTGGAAGAAAAGTGTGTGATGTGTGCAATAATTATTTGATTTTAGATAAACGACCTAGCGTTGGTAGTATTTTTCTTATTATTGATCAATATTTTAGTATTCTAGGTTAATTATATGAAAATAATTTCCATCCATAGTGTTATGCGTACGGTCTTAAAGTTGATATGAGATCAAGGTATAAAGAATCATTGAAGGTTCTTTTTTTGTAAGCATTTGTTAAGACGACAGAAAACAACAAAAACCTCAATGTCTGATGTAATGTACTATACCGCAGTTTGTGTTGGCTGAGCATCATTTGTTCGCCCTTAATTCTTTTATTTAGGAATATTAAGTCCTATACTGCATCTACCTGAAAAGAACTTCATAACTTTGTTTTAATGTGTCTTAGTTTAGAAAAAACCTGCACGGATATAAGACTTATGATGCATAGTTCGTAAATTATATTTTTTTCGTTTTTCCTCATCGTTTTCAGTACTAATAGATCAACACATTTCAAAGAATGTAAATTGAAGGCAAATGTCACTACATCAAGTTTTCTGATGAGATAAGACGATGAAGTATTGACCTTCATACACTCTTACAAGCAGCATGCTCCTGAACATGTTTACAAGAGGGAGTTGTAAATGATTCATAAAAAATATATATATTAATCATCACAATAAACATACACGCTTATATCTATCTATTTATCTCTCTGTCTGTCCGTTTCTGTCTCTCTCTCTCTCTATAAAAATCTATCTGTGTGTGTGTGTGTGTGTGTGTGTGTGTGTGTGTGTGTGTGTGTGTGTGTGTGTGTGTGTGTGTGTGTGTGTGTGCGTGCGTGCGTGCGTGCGTGCGTGTGTGGGTGATTTGATTTGATTTGATAAAAAAAATACAGGACCGTGTACATGACCTGCAAAAAGCCAGGGTAAGACGCTATAGCATCTATCTAAACTGGCTCTGCTTCTATTTTTGTAAAGGGCTGTTAGTCAAACATATTTTATACATGTCTGAAAGGCTGTGTTAGTATGCTTACATTATTCACATATCATTTAGTTGTAAAAAAAAAAACACTTTTATATCACTAATCATATCAAAGACAAGACCAGTGTCTAT